AATTGTGTACTATGGCCTGTCAGTAAAAACTTGAAACTGATATAAATTTTTTATTATTAATGACATATACATAAAATTTTAATATGTTATGTATATTGACTTTAAAAATATAAAAATAAAATTAGAAGTAAAAAAATAGTTTTAATTTTAAAAATTTAAATGAAATTTAAAAAAAACAATTAAAAAATAAAAAATTTCCACCAAGTATATACATATATAATATTTTTTGGAAATGATATTAAATGATATCAGCATATATATACTCCTACACCATATACAAGCTCAAATGATGGATATTTGTCAAATTTGATCAGAGAAAATATCTTTATTAGTCAAAATGAGACCCTCATTTAAAATACATGAAGACAAAATTCTACTTTGCTTTGTACCTTTAGGTCATTGAAACTATTTATTTTGGGTTCAAACAGTTAATTTATGTGTTTATGATGGGGTGACTTCCTGAGAAACACATATCTGCTTGTATAGCTATCAGTAATTGTTTATAACCATAGTTATAGGGTATTTAGTGAGAGGACAGAGATGAAGACTTTATACTAGAACCTGTTCAAGTTCTCTACAAAATCATATTAAGCTGTCAGAGAATGAAATACAGGTCAGAGGGGTAAAATATACTTTACCCAGGTATATTTACCATTGCATGTAAGAAAACAGCAAAATGATGTAAGTTGAACACAGAATGCATTCCATTTTATTGTTTAGTTTCTTTAAGATGTTGATTGATGTAGTGCGACATTGTAGCCCAGATGATATTATGGGAATTCTCATGATCCATTTTGCTTTATGCATTATTAATGACTAATAATATTTGTTATCTGACACTTTAAAGATTACATAAGTAATATTCAAACAGATTATTTGAATTTAACTTTCTACAACTGATCCTAACATGGTTACATAGCTGACATGAACAAATATGCATATATTTTGTAATGTTTGGAATCAAAAATTGACCTTGTTAGGCTGACATGGTACCTATAGTGAATCTGTAAGGCTCAGTTTTGACTGTGTGCACTTAAAATATCCCAAGATGTTATTTTCATCATGAATATGCCTCTGTATGGTAACACATTTCAATTTAGTACTTTGACAGAGGGCGGTATTGCAGCATCAGCTGATATTTGATTCCATTGAATCATTGAATCATTAAACTTAATAACTTGGTAGCCAGGACTCTTAAAAATAGACTAAAAATGTTCAAAGAGATTATTTGAATCATGTTTGCACATGTGATTTTAACAAGTACATTGCATATGTCCCACACATGCAAATATCCATCCTTGTTTACAAGTTTTCGGGATGCAAATTTCACATTTAGTTGATGATATAGGATCTATTGGTACCTATAGTTGATCTGTGTGGCTACATTTTGCTATATTCACTCACAATATCTAAAATTGTTTTTCTTCATGAACAGGATTGCATATAGTAATAAATTTTAATTTGGTACATTGTCATTTGACTTTCCACTATACTGGTATGTATCAATGTTTGCACCAATGATCAAACCTCACCGTTCCAACATTGCCTTAAACTTTATGATACATACTCTACCTGATTAGTTATTTAACCTGTAAATGGCTAAATATGCTTGCAGAAACTTCATCTATTTTTAGGATGCATTTGTCACTTTAATACATGCCCATTGCTTCACATCTTTGAGTGTCACTCTATCAAGTTTACCTTTTTTAACCCTATTTGCAACCTGAATGTTATTTTGAAATCATCATATCTAACACATTTTAACTTCATTTGCCTACATCTTCCTTTTTTAGAATTAAGTGAAACATGTTATATATTTTCAGGTCTAGTCTGGTATCTGGAACAAAGTATTAGAGTTGGATCAATTTGGAAGCTCTCCAGTAGTCCAATAGTGATAGCAAGGTCTCATAAGGACATGTGCAGTGTGCTGCTATAAGTGACCAAGATGAGTTCATATCAGTACACTGATATACAGCATCTCAAAGACATGGCTTAGATCTTCATGAGAGAGATTCGCATCTTTTTTCAGTAAGGTGAAACTGTATTTTCATATTGCATTGTTGACTTTTGTAGTTATCGGCATTAAAATGGAATGCATATTTGCTATAAAACATGGTAGTGGTCCCATCAAAACTTTAAATTTGAGTGGGATATTAGTTATACAAACAACTGTTCAAGTACCTGAAACAATAAATGTGGAACATAGTACCTGTCATTGTTTCTTTAGTATGTACACCTATATGCATCTGAATATGCATATTGCAATTTGCGGTCAAAATCACTGTGAGCTATCATGCTTCAGTACCCCTGGGATTAATATTATCAGTTGTACAGACCTAAACTACCATTTGTTTTAAAGACCATTCATTAATCAACATTGCGGCCTTAAATTTGTCAAACTGAATGTCATAACTTGTATGAAAATTTATTTTTTGTAAAATAAAAAGTTTTTAAAATTTATATATTGTTTTAAATTTTCATTAAAATTTAATATAGCAATATTTTTTTAATTTCAAGACTATTTTCAGACAGGCCTTATCACGTATTACAATTAGTTTTTTACTGCATTGAAAAATTCCTATAATTAGGGAAGATATAGCAAATTTAGTTTTGGTTTCTTAAGAACAATTGGACCTCAAATTGCACCCTATAGAACACCAGCACTACACACTTTCTGATAGCTGTCACATGTCTTGCTTGCAAGGAAATTTCAAAAGACTTTATGTATGAAGTTGAAACAGTAGTGGCATGCAAAATAAAATGCAAATATAAAAGTTTGACAAAAACATTGACCCTTTCAGGAATCAGTACACAATTAATAAAATCCAGTTCAGTACCCACGAATGTAGTCCCAGTCTATTTTTAGATCACTTTTTCCGGTCTAAATTTGGTGGTGATACTAGAGTTAGATTTTGGCATTCTTAGTAAGGATTTAAAGGCAATTGATTATTCGTTAAAATGTGATCTTATGGTGTGGTTGTCTGTGTGTATTTCGGCGACAGTGCACATTGAGTAATAAGGTCATGGTGATGATCCGGAAGTGACATCTGTGTTCCGTTGCCTGGTGTTTTGTTTACAATTCAGCCTCTCAAAAAAAATGCAGGTCAACCCTTGACAAGAACTAAACCGTAAAGTCATCTTTGAAGGTATTTTAGATTAACATATGATTTGTATTGATTGTCACACAGTGGAAAGTTCAGTACTGAGGAACAAATGTAGAGACCATATAGTGAAATTAATTGTGTACTATGGCCACTTGGCCACACGGGGACCCTACACTAACATGTCAAAATCTTGGCTAACGAATACTGCCATTTTTTTTATTATAAAGAAATGCATGACGTCCTTCATGCTTAGCAACTGTATTCATTCTATGTACGTACTCAAGTGCATTTTCAGTCATGGTCAATAATTTATTCATCTCTCTCTCCGTCTATTTCTCTGTCTGTCTGTGTGTCTGTCTGTCTGTCACTCTATCTTGAATCATGCAAGTTTACATATATTTGTATGAAGTTTATATTCATTCAGTATGTAAATTTGTATCCATTGTAGAAGTTCTTAATCTAATGTGTAATAACTTGTAACCTGATCCCATTTGTTAACATTTATGACAATAAAATATGTTTAAACTAAACATTAACTAATGACTTTTAAAGTTTTACACTGCATAATCAGTGAAATTTAAGAATTAACTATTTTTGTGTTGATTTTATACCAAAAACGTCTAAACAAATTGATTTCTTGTTTTTAGTTTTCTGAAACATTGCTAGGAAAATGCAAGATATGATATGTTTTTAAATATTTTAGCGTGGTATACGCCATTGATAAAATTGATAATTAATCCAAAGAATTTCAGTAACTTCATTATGTGATTGCATTACTGTATTGGCTGACCTTAGATCACATGTATGTGTCCGAAATAATTATGAAATGACGCAGATCATTTTTATACTGAGAACAAAAAAAAAACCCAAGAATGAAAAAGCATGCTTATATTGAAGCAATTTTATAAAGCAATTGCAACTGTTGTATACGTGAAACAATGCTTTGTCGATTTCCATCCAACATTTTAAAGTTCAGAACAATGTAACATTAATTTGCTTTTCTTTAAACTATTTATATGACAATATTTATAAACTTGTTTACTCCAATAAATGTATTCATACATTCTAACTGATATCATTTACACGGCTGGTTTGCGAGCTTTGATTCGTTAATTTCAAAATGAAGTATCGTAACTAAATGACGCCGAGTTTCTTGACAAATTTTTAAATGTTATCAGAAAGCAGACACGACTTGTCATAATGGAAGCTATTACACATTATTATCATAAAACCACGTAAACGACCTTAACATGGATTGTAAGAAAGACAGAATTAATTAGCATAGGAAATAGTCAATTAAATATAGTATATAAAATTTGTTTCGAGCGGCTTACAACAATGAATTCTGAATATTGATAATATACAAGTCACAAAAATGTTACAGAATCTATAATCCTTAATATGGCATAGTTATCTTGTAACACACACTCCACTGTAACACACTGTCACTTTAATGGTGAAACAATTCGGTCATGTAATTTAATTTGCTTCTGTACTGTACCCAATATTGCCTTTAATTTTTAAAAATTAATATCGCCAAAATACTTTTCATCAAAAAATTTGTTTATTCTTTTTTACTTACTTTAAAAACTAACGACGCACACAAAACTGTAACTATGGAACATCGATTTTAAAATATTTCTTCAAAAGGCTTAAGACTGGAGTGTGTGTGTGTGTGTGTGTGTATTAAGCGTAACTTTTTTAAAAAAACATTCAGTTATATCGCTACGATGTCTGCAGAGTGGCAGTTTATAGTGATTTCTAGCACACACAGCATGATGTACGACCCATTCATATTACCCCTACACCAGGATAATAATAAGTCATAACAATAACCTCGTCATGCTGAACGCCTAGTAAGGCAGCCGTCGGCACCAGTTTTATAAGTCTTTGGTGTGATTCGGCCGGTGGTTCGAACCCGCGACCTCCCGCATCCGAAGTGGACGCTCTCACCACTTAGACAACCAGACCGGTATGATTGGAATGGGATAATCGTAATTTTGAATGATTACACCCTTTAATTAATCAGAATCAAATAAACCAACTCTAAATTTTTGCTTTCTTCGTGTACATATGAATGTTGGTTATAGCTAAGTAAGAATTGATCATGAAAACGAACTATCGGTTCTCACTCTAGATATATCACTAAAGATATTTCTAAGTATTTTATTATGGGGCTAATTGTCATAGAACAAGATTTACAATGTGCGGTACTTCAAGACCGTTTTATACTTGTAAACGTTTGACGTCTAACACCCAAGCCAACGATTATTGCAATTTAAGGATGATAACCGTGCCTTAAGCACGCCACTCTTCAGAATTCATGAATCATCGACAATTTTCATTCTGATCTGTCCTCTACAAAACTAGATTTGTATAGTATTGGTGCTAGATTCATGCTCTGCGGGCGTTTTGTTTGATAGTTTTAGAAATAATCCATTATTACCCACATCTCGTGTCATTATAATATAAAGAACAGATAGTCAAACCAGCAAATGTTACTGTCTACACTCGTATCTCAGATTCGTCACAAAGACATGGTAAATACCAGTAAAACGCCAAGTATACAAGAGATATCACAGTAATGTCATTTTTAATCACACCGGGGATTATGCATTCGTGATGTATGGTAATTGGCAACTCGAGCAACAATATTTTTTTTAACCATGCAGCTGGTATTTAGTTCATTCTAGCTCATTTAACGTTAGTATTTTTTTTAAAATTTTAAATATGAAATTTCCAATTATTATAGCGCTTATGATGCTGGGTTAACTTATAAATTCCATCCATATCGGCTCCTCAGTTTTTAAGATATGTCGATGTTCCAAGTGACTATGTATTCAGGTACAATATGGTTAGATGTGTCCAGTGTGAAGTTATTTTTGATTTTACAGTAATCAATGAGGACATGTGATTTTGTTCAGTTCTTAGGTGTGGTAAGCTATTGAGGGTTCCATAAGCACAATTTTAATTAAGAATTGTGGCAAGTATCATGTGAGAACTTAGATTTATGGAGCGCAAAACAAATATGCTATAGTCCGAGTCTATTAACCCGTTTGTTTGTACCCCTTACCGATTTCAATAACGAAAACGTTTGATATGATAAAAAGTGCACAAAACTATCAACCGAATCATTGATTTATCATTTCTAACCTGACTGTGTCCAGAATGGCACCAATACTTGCATCCCATTGCACATTTCATGCTTAACGAGCTTTTCATACTAACACGGCGCCATATCCCGTACACTATGGAGTAGTTTATTTCCATCAGACAACATAACGACGTAATTCATCCTATTCATTAGCTGTTGACAATGGATTCGTCCAGGGACAGGAAATGGGTTTCAAGCATGTCTGTCTATTATACTGAAAACTTTCGTTAAGCATGAAACGCACAGATGATGACGGTGTTCTGGCCATTCTACTCACAGTCAGGTTAGAAAATATAAATCAATGTATGAATTGACAAAGTTCTTTGCACTTTTTAATAAAATTAAAGGTTTCCGTTATTGAAATCGGTAGGAGGTACAAACAAACGGGTTAATAGACTTGGACTATAGATTTTCTACTGGAAATATATACTAGTTATGATGAAGTTGCCTTCACACTTTTGTGCGCCACTATGTAAAGTCTGGTGTTGTTCATACAAAATTAATGTCAAGCAGTCAGGTAGTGATATTAGGACTGCATTAGCACATGTCTGGCAAAACTTACTAGGATTTAAAGAAAATTTAGTTTACATCTTTTAAGAAAAATTAATTATGTTTTTAATTTATAATGTAAAATACTTTTTAAAATTTGCACTTTTATTTAAAATTGTATTAAATTTAGGATTATCAACATTTTTATTCATTCCGCCCCTCCCCTCCCTTTATATTAAAAATTTCGTATAATTAAAATAATATTTACTTTTTCAAAACTTCATTAAATTAAAGAAGTTGCAAAAATGACTACAAAGTGTTGGTCTCGTAGAACTCAGGTCATAACAATTACTTCGTATTTAGTACCCATGCATTTAGTGCCATCTATTTTATAATACTTTTTCGCAACGTTAGATTTACGAATTCTTGGTACCGACTTAAAAGAACGTGTTTAATCTTTTTAATATGAGGATTTTTATATGATTAACTGTTTATTTTGACTACAATGCACAATGAGTAATCACGCTTTGGTGATGTTTCAAAACTGAAATGCGTGACTCATGGCACGTGGCTGATGTATCAACCTTACAATAGTAAGAGGGAGAAACTTTTCATCGAAACTTACATGCTTGTCGTCTGAAATCTGTTGCTATGGTTTTTATGTAAAGAGCGTTTTTGTTGCAATATAGATCACAACAAAAGTAAAACAAAAGAAAAATAAAATTTCATATTTAACTACAGAAATGGCAATTAGAAGTGTACTTTGTTACTGGTATACCGGTTTACCACATAATGTTTTTTTTTCGGTATTGCGTACCCCGATACTTTTGTCAGTGTCGGTAGTTTCTGTCAGAATGGAATGTACGGAAATTCCCTATGAAGTTTGTTACGACTTTAATTATATTAACAGTGTTTTATTATTTGTGACAAGATAGTTTAAATAACTACCATTTTTTACAAAACGGATGTATATGTCACAAATGAATTGTGACATATAATTATATATAACATCTGTAACATCTGTTACACATGCTAACGTGTTAGCAAAATGAATTGTGCAACAGATTAGAATAACATCCAACAATTGGGATTAAAATCACCCACCAAGAAGAACACGTCATGTTTAGTTCTTTACTACGGTGTGTAAAAATGCTAAGTACACGTATTCCTTTGTAATACTGTCAATCAGCCTACGATTTTGAGGAGCGCACTTTTTTCTGTTTGAACTATATGCAATTTCTTAAGTCCTCTAAATATTTTCTCGTGAATACGTGAATTTAATGTTTACTGTTCTTCTCTGTAAATTTATTGCCCAGGTGCCGGAATCACCTATTACATCAATAGTTTGGCTAGAAAACTGTACGTTTCAGTAGCAACACTCCATATTGTAATCAGTAGCAATACTCCATATTGTAATCAATAGCAACACTCCATTTTGTAATCAGTATCAACACTCCATATTGCAATCAGTAGCAACACTCCATATTGTAATCAGTAGCAACACTACATATTGTAATCAGTAGCAAAACTCCATATTGTAATCAGTAGCAACACTCCATATTGTAATCAGTAGCAACACTCCATATTGTAATCAGTAGCAAAACTCCATATTGTAATCAGTAGCAACACTCCATATCGTAATCAATAGACTCCATAATGTTGCATTGTTTTTAGAGCGTTTGCCTCTGATGAGTGAGGTTGCGAGTTCGAACCAGTGACATACTAAAGATTAACAAAAAATGGTACTAATAGTTGCATCGCTAGGTGCTCAGCATCAAGAGGCTGGTGTTAGTACTGGTCGGCCTGGTGTCAAGATAATGTGACTGGGTGGGATATCATGCTACGCGTCTGCGGCATGATACCCCAGTGCTAGATATCTCTACAAAATGCCACACTGCAGACATCGTAGCAATATGACAACAATTGTTAAAACTAAATTAAAAATTTACGCTAAAATTCACACACACACACACACACACACACACACACACACACACACACACACGCGCGCGCGCGCGCGCGCTCTCTTTCCCTCTCTGAGTTTAGTCTTTCTTAGCATAAGCGATTTTCGATTGCAACTAAAACAACGTTTAAAAACACATGGTAAATTCATAAAGTACTGATCATCCAAGTAAAGACATTGAAATAATATTGAGCCATGCGGTAAAAATTCAGCGCAATATATTATTTCCAGTTGTTGACATACGGAATTAAACACAAAAGAAAGTGCCAGGATTCTGATCCTGAACATGGAATTGTTGGTCCTTATTCAGTTGCGATATACTGTGGTACGTACTTTGAGAAATGCAGCGGTACAACAATTTTTTTTCGTACAATTCAAATTGATTCTTTCAACCAATTTTTAATTGCCTGAAAAAAATCTACTTATATTCATGTTTATTCAAGTATATGTTGAGACTGTTACATGAGTAGCGAGCTTAAATCCCAATTTTTGATAGTAATAATACATTTACACAATTTACTGCAGTCACAGAAAAGTAGCATCTAGCTAGCCTGAGCGCTTTCGAATCATGAGTCATTTCAAAGTAATATTCAAAACATAGACAAAGTAATATATATATATATATATATATATATATATATATATATATATATATATATATATATATATATATATATATATATATATATATATATATATATATATGTATATATATGTATATATATATATATGTATATATATATATATATATATATATATATATATATATATATATATATATATATATATATATATATATATATATATATATATATATATATATATATATTGTTGTTGTTGTAGGCATCCGTCCTTCTTCGAGAAACGATGGTGTAGCTCCCTGTTTTGGTGCCTTTTCTGCACCGTCGCGAGTGGCTGAAGAGTCCGTCCCTTGCGTGACAATCTTTGTTGCACTTGCTGCAGGTGAAGATTGATTCTTATTGAGGCTGTTGTTGTTTCACCTTCCTCTTGGTTCTCTTTGTAGCGAGGTTTGCTTTTATCATTTCCTCGGCTTTCTGAATGCCTTATCTCACAGCAAGTCGCCACTCGTAGCGATTGTTAGCAAACTCTCTCAGTTGTTGACTATGATGTTGACCGTTTTCATGTCCTTCTTGCAGATGTCTTTGTATCGCAGACGTGGCCGTCCAGTGTCGGTCGTGTGCATTCTGCTAGCTCGCCGTATAACAGGTCCTTTGGAATGCGGCCTGTATCCATTCTCCTGACGTGGCCGAGCCACCGAAGGCGCCTTTCGCTGAGGATGGTGAACATGCTATTCATGCTGGCCCGTTCCAGAACCTCCGTATTGGGTAATTTGTCCTGCGTGTG